GAGCAGACTGATGTCTTGGGAACACGTGAGGAAAGCACGGAGGAGAGGCTTTCACGGGCCCCAAGTAGGAGGAGAACAGAAGACAAAGCACCGGACTCAGCAACATGGAAACAAAACGCAACCGGAGCAGTTTCGGTGGAGGGTGGGGGACAAAATCCCATTCTTGAGTAACTGCGAGAACAGAGGGAGAATTTTTTCCCTCATTGAGTTTATCGGTACATGGGAGGCAGACAGTGCAGCTCCATTCATCATTGGGATCTTGTACCTTTACGGGACAGGTCTTGGCTCTCATTTTTCCCTCATTGCCCTTTCTTCCCTTCAACTCCTCCACACCTGTGAATAGGAATTCACAGACTTCCATTTTTTTCCTTTTCTCATATTTTTTCCTTTCCCCTACCCCTCCCACTTCCTCTTCCCCTTTAGACCTTTACTTCCTGTTTCACATTATCTATTGTACATTTTGATCCTTATTTACAATTTCAGTTTCTCACAACAGAGAAACTATTTAGTATTTACACGTCTGTCCTAGTTATTTTACTTAAGAATATGGCCTCAAAAAAAAAAAAAAAAGAATATGCCTTCAGGATGTATCCATTTAGCTATAAATGACTACTTTCTCATTCTTTACGGCTGAGTAGTACTCCATTTTATAAAAACCCCCACATCTTCTTTATCCAGTCTCCAGTCGTTCAGCAATTGGGCTGCTTCCAAGATTTAGCTATTACAAACTGTGCTGCTATAAACATGGGTGCACATATATCACTGTGGTTTGATTTTTAAAATTCTTTTGGAAAGATACCCAGAGCAGGGAATAGCTGGGTCAAATGGGACCTCTAATCCTAGTTCTTTGAGGTATCCCCATATTGATTTCCACAGTGGTTGCACCAGTCTACACTCCCACCAACAATGGAGAAGGAAGTTTCCTTTCTCCCTACAACCTCGCCAGCATTTGTTGTTGGTTGATTTCATAGTAGCAGCCATTCTCTCTAGAGTGAGGTGGAATCTCAATGTTGTTTTTGTCTGTATCTCTTGAATGGCCAATGATATTGAACATTTTTTCATATTTATTTGCTGCTCTTATCTGTCTGAGAAATATCTGTTCATTTCAGGTGCCCATTTTTGAATTGGGCCTTCCAATTTAGGGGGTCTGATCTTTTTAAGTTCTTTATAATATATTCTAGATAGCAGTCCTTTGAGGAACAGCTGGAGAAAATTTTTCCCATGTTGTGGGTTGTCTTGCAGCTCTCTTGGTGGTTTCTATTTCAGTGCAGAAGCTTTTTTAATAAGATGAGATCCCAGTTGTTGATTCTTTGTGCTAGTTCCCGTGCTACTGAGGATTTGTTCATAAAGGCTTTTCCTATGCCACTGTCTCTAAATGTTCTGCATAACCTCTCTTCCGCAAGTTTAGTGTTTCTGTTTTAATATTTAGATCTTCAACTCACTTCAATTTTAGTTTAGTGCACAGTGACAGATAGGGATCTAGTTTTAATCTGTGGCAGGCTGAAATGCAGTTTTGCCAGCACTATTTATTAAAGAGGCTGTCTTTCCTACTCTCATATTTTTACAGGTATCAAACTCAGGACCTTGCACTTGCAAGGCAGAGTTGTCACCACTGACCTAAATCCCTATCCCACAGCTGATGTGTTTAGACTATAATATATATAAATAATATTATAAATTACTTAGAATGTATGTATTTTTGAGAACACATTAAGGATAGTTGATTCTTGTTTTATAAAGGAGTTACTTCCAAGGTACTTTAAGGGACACTCTTGGTTTATAGATCTGTAAGTCATACAAATCGTAGTTACTTGCTACCTGATTACTTACAAATTATTAGAATCCCTATGACACCTAAGTCAAAGTGACAAGCCAAAGACACAAGAAGATGGCTTCCTAGAGGCAAGTAAAGTGCTAGGAAAATCCATATACTAAGAAACAAGAGCAGTTGTTTCTTGTGAGGACATAACTAGGACAAATTAATTTTAAAAATTGGCAATAAGCAATTTCAGCTCCTACTGCCATCGTCATACAGCTCATACAGATGTGATTGTCTTCCTACTTCACTGCCACCGAAGCTATTAGACTAGCAGCTCAGGAAAGGGGAAATCGGATTCCATGGGGTTGAACAATGTTACGTTTTATGAAGTGCTTTCTGCCACATGTCTTAGAGACAGATAAACTCTATTTTGCATCAACTGTTTTGGGGACATTTTCTTCCCTTAGTTTTTCTATGCCTAGACATGAGTGGGAGAGTAGGCTGGCCATGTTTTAGGGTCTGTCAGTCTGCGTAGTGCATAAGTACTGAAGAGAAGAGACAGTGCGTTAGGACAGAAAACTGGGAAATAGTGAGGTTGTAGTAAAACACAGCCCGCGTTAAAATGGATGCATTTTTAGCGTGTTATCATCAGAAAATTATCATTTTGCTTTGGCTTCATTTAGAATATTCTGACAATTTGGGTAAGTGAATCAATTTCATTATTTTTATTTTATGATTTCATTGAGGCAGAATTTTATTTTCACGGTACCCCACATGTGGGATTTTAAGCAAATGGGAAAATACAAATTAACTGATACTGAATTTTCTAGAAACCTGTAGATCAGCAACTACCAGGTTTTTAAAATTCTACTTTTGCTTTTGCCTAGATTTACCCAGAAACCAGATATCTATGATTTAATGAACATGCTAAGATACTGCTTCTGTATTCACATACTCACATAAATTAGATTTTCTTGATAAAATGAGCAGCTTCAATTGAATGTGTACCTTTTTCTTTTTATTAGTACATGTTTGCAGTATAAAATGATTACATTTATCAATGGGAGTTGGTACATGTATATAATCCAGTTTAATTCTTCTTGGTACCAGGGATCGAACTTGGGACCTTGTGCGGAACCACTGAGCTAAATCCCCAGCCCTTAATTCCTTTCTTGCTCCCCACCCCTCCTCTACCTCCTTGCTCCTTCCGTCTCTTGGTCTTTTATAATGGCTTGTGTCTGGCTGTCCCCCCGAAGCCTCATGAAGCCACAGTTGGAACTTTTCAGAGGTGGCTAGATCTGGAGTGTGTGATGCTGGGATTAAGGGTGTGTGATTACTAAATTAGTCCCCTGAGTGGTTTGGCATAGTTCTGGCTGTGGATGATGTGAAGGCCCACCCTGGGCATGAGCACTAACTGCCATAAGTGTGGGTGGCTTGGATAGAAGGGACAGAAAGGGACAGAAAGAGGACTGGCTGCTTCTCTCACTTGCTGCTTGCTTCTTTCGCTGCTTCTTGCCTTCTGCCTTCCATACCATGAGCTGTGTTATCTCCTCTGTGATGCCTCTCTGCCATGCCACTCTGTCTGGCAGGCAACCAATTAGGGACTGAAATCTCTAGCAACTGTGAGCCAAAATAAATCTTTCCTCCTTTAAGTTTAGGTGTTGGGTATTTTGTCTTCGCCACCAGAAATGTAACTAAGACATCATCCTGTTTGCAAAAGCTCTATTTCCATTTTCCCCCAATTCCCAACACATTCATGACAAGGCCATAATTTGTACATCTTGCTGCTAGATGGCCCGAGAACACCAGTGGCACATGAATGACTGTCCAATTGGGCAGCATGTGACAACCCCTTGAGGTGGTACCAGCCACCTAAAGGGACAGTCAAGCTCGTCCCTCCAGTGGTTCAAGCTGGGAATGTTTTAAAACTAAAACTAAAGTTGTAAAACTAAATCAGAGAAGGCCTATTTCCAATGTAAAGAAATGTTAAACACTGACAGCCTAAGTTTGTACGGTCAATATATGCCCCAAAGTAAGTTACAACAATAAGAAGACAACGTCACGTTTGATAGTTTTGATGTTAGAAGTCAGTTTTCCTAATGATTTTGGAGAGGATGAGATGAGAATATAATTGACTGTAAAGACAGAGGGAACTACTAACAAGGACAACTGTCATGTGATGTAGTAACAGGGTGACCTGGATAAACACAGGAAGACTCAGGCTTGGAGAAGTTGGAATTGGAAAAAAAAAGGGAAGAGAAGAAACAAACAGTTGGCATTTTAAAAACTCACACTGCAGTAAGAATCAGGCAAACATTAGCAGAATGCCTTATCCTCTTCTCCAAAAGCATATGTGCTTATATTATGGGGGTAATATTTTAAAGAAAAGCATTGGACCTTGGGGGAATAGAGATAATCTATTCCAAGACATCTTCAACATGAAAGTGAGGTTTGAAACCACGGAGACGTTAAATAATTTAGTTACAACAAGATTTTTCTATAAAAGTAATTGTGGGATGCCTTTAATAATAAGCTTTCCCCCAAAGATTCAATTTTATTTAAGTTGCTAACGTTTCGTTGACATGTACTTATGTCATAAAAAAAAAGTGGATAAAATGAGAGCATGAGTTGAGGTACAGAAAGATATCTGATGATCTTTAAATATATGCCAGGAATGGCTAAATAATTAAGAACCCATTTCCATTAATCGAGATGACAATGTTGCAGAGAGCACAGTGGCTCGGAAATCAGGAGGTCTGCCTTTCTATTTTACATGACTGGAGTCATTTGAGCTTCCTGGGACTTACTTTTCTCAAGGAAGATAGTAAAATAGATAATTTCAAATATTTCATGTCCTTGATTTCACTTTGCTTATGGCTTTGCATTTTCAAATTTAGGGCAAGCTACTTTTTTATGTCTCTATACAAAAAGCTACGCTTTTAATCACAAGGTAGTTTTGAAAATTCCTTAACAAATAGCTCATAATATTAGAAAGAAAAATAAAAAAATCATGCTATCCAATCACATAATTCTGTCATCATGTTTGTTAAATGTGTTCTTCCAAACACTATACATTGTTTTTACCTCCTTGTGGAAATCTTCAAAATAAGAGACACCATGGAACACACTAGAAACATGAAACATGCTCAGGGCAGGATTTCCAGTAGTTATTGTTACAGAGGTGCCTGGTATATGGATATGCGCACATCTCATGGCTCACAAGGTAAGGAACTGTGCTTACCTTCTGCTGAAGAAATGGGACCCACTTGCAGTGCACCAGGTCCTGGCGGTACTGTTTGGTGAAGGACCCAGTGTAAGACACGAATGCTGCTGTGAGGAGAACATCGCCACAGAGGGTCTTCTCCTGAGCCTCGAAGGACTGGACAGACTGACCCCAGCGAATCTTCTCTGTCTGAAGGATGAAATAACCCACACGTAATTACAGGGTGAGTATCAACTCCAGGAATGCTTAATGCTATGACCTTATAGCACAGTTTAAGGCCTTCTGTACCTTCCCCAGAAGGAGCAGAATGTAACTGATTGCCATGACTGTTATAACCTTTCATATATTTAAAACCCATCATCACTAAGTAGTTCTACTTTATTCTGTGGAGTTTAGTCTGATATAACCTTAGTTTTTAAACATCTTTAATCACAACTGGGGTCCTTTCTGAAAGGCAGACAGTTGCTTCCTAAGAACTCAGGTAGAGTTGTGGCCAAGAATGAGTGATGTTAGGATTTTTGTAGCTGTTGTTCTGTGGTTCTGTGGAATGAACCCAAGGCCTGTGCACTGCACTGTATCCGCATCCCTTTTCCTTTTTTTCCCGTTTGAAATGGAGTATCACTAATTAATCTAGGTGAGACCTGAACTTGCAGCTCTTCTGCCTCAGCCTCCTAGAGTTTTGGGATATAGGTGTGTGTACCACCACATCCAACTGATACTAGAATTCCTAATGTTAGCCGGACTGATCTCCATTCACTCCACTTTTCAGCAATGGTCCAACACTGCCCTACACCAACCTTTTTCTTTCTTAACATACTTGCTATGGGCTGATTACAGACAAAGGAAAATGGCAAACATCATTCTTGTTAATTAAAACATAAGCTTAAATAGCCATCTGCTCTGAATTGTATTAATTAAAGAATTAGGCCGGTAACGACTCAACTCAGGTTATTTTTTTTAATGCAATCATTAAATCAGTGAAGGAGGCTATGACCTATGTGAAAAGATAAAAATCAGGACTAGAAGCATTTTTTACAAAAAAATGCTGGTGCAGTCCTTATATCTAGTGGGATGGTCATTTAAAATCTGATTTACAGGTTAAGTATTTAGAGGCCAGAATATTGGATTTGAATAAAACTGCAATAACTATGTATGGATCGCCTGAACTATAGGACACTTCACTAATATACTTTATTTCAAGGCATGCTAAAAATATGATGTTTTAAGAATGTGCAAATTAATAAAACCTGAAAAAATCAGCAATTTGATAGTACCAGCAAATAATAACCCTGCAAAATTTTGCTTTCTTCAGGAGAGAAGAAAGGCCACAGAAAATAAAAATGATACATATGAGAGGAAACAGCAATGTCAATTTCCTGTAGGCCATCTTGATACCCCAGACACAGAGGTCCTGAAACAGTGTGAAGTAGTTATCAAAGCTGTTTAAGGATGTCTCCTTGCATTCCTTGATAGAGATCACCCCAAGTTATGTGTGTAATTATACACAGAGGAACTTCAGCTCTGTAGCTCTCTTTTTAGAATTCGTTACTTTTCTTCCTTGGCCACAGATCATACATCCATTAATTTTCAAGAGAAATCTCTCATTTGCTCGCCCTCCATCTTTGTTGTCTTTGGTTTGTAAATGATAAACAATAAAGTGCACCCACCTCATTCTCCAAAACAGCTTTGAAATTTGCAGATTTACTAAACATGGACTTATTGGCTATTGAAATCGTCAATAATTTCGCTACACCACCCACACAACATAAATCATTACTGACACTGGGTAACAAGGGTTTAAGAGTTGGAACATGTCCTGTAATAAATTTCTCGACAGTTAAAAATCACTATAATTTTATTCTAATGCATTATAGATTGCCTGTAATGTCATCCTGGCTGGGGTGACCCATTTCTAATTTTGAACAGCTGTTCAGCTCAGGAGTTAGTTAATGATTAAATATAAATTGTCTGATTTATTAGTCTGAATGGTTGAGCTTCCAAGTCATTGCCATATAGACAAAATCATCAGTCTTGATGCCTTTCAGAAGTTAACTGTCTCCTGTTCTAGTCAGAAAGAATTTATCCCCACGGGAAAAGATCGGACATCTCCAATTAATCCTTCAAAAAATGTATTTTTCCCTTGTTAACAACATACCAGCTTTTCCTCCTTCATTGTCTAAATCAGTAGTAAGGAAAGCCTTTGGGAAAACTCCTATGTGTTAGAGATACAGGGTCAAGCTTGTTTTGCTTGATAAGACTTTCAGATACCCTGTAACTACTCCAGGCACAGCTGAATTATGAGATATTCTTTTTCTCAGATGTCTCACAAATGGTAAACACTTCAAACAGCTTGAATCTTGCCATGTTAAATGGCAACAGATCTAAGTAACAGTTGTGGTGGAATTTCTGACCAAAAAGGAATGACTCTTTAGAGGGCTCCAGAACTTTCTTTTATTAAAACACAGAGAGCTCCTCTGAATCACCCATTCATTCATTCATTCATTCATTCATGGAACGGCTACTGATTCCTGGACATGCCCGGGACTAATCTCTAAACACGGGATCAAGTGGTTCACCAACCAGATGACATTCTTGTTCTCGAGAAGCTTGTTTTCTAGTTGGAGGAAAAAGACCACAGGTGTTCACACATACACAGACAGCGTGTGTATTACGAACACTCACAAGTGCGTCGCAAATGCTATGAGAGAACAGTGATGGGAGTAACTGGAAAAGAGCTGCAGAGCTATGTGTGAGTGTGAGGTACAAGCTGAGCGTTCTTCACCTCGGCAGTGAGAGGACTTCCTGTGGACAAAGGGGGCCTTTCAGCAGAGACCTGAGAAGCGAGGCGGCCAATGATGAGATCACCTGGGAAAGGGAGACCCCGTGGAGGGAGGCACAAGCCAAGAGCCACAGGCAGGAGAGCAACTGGCTGTAAGGGAGGCCTGTGGAGGGCAGCGATGGGGAAGTAGCAGGGGAGAGGACAGAGGCACCCAGGAGCCCATCACACATGGCCTCTGTAACCCTTACTCCTGTTTGTCTATTTGACTGGATTAGGAGCCACCTGAAAGGTTAGTAAAGGGTGACTGGCTGGGCTATAGAGGCGAGGTCTTGGATAATATATGTGCCTTTCTCTCCCAAACTGTTCTCCTGCTCTCCTCAGCTGCCAGAAACTAAGAAGCTTTGCTCTCTCCTGTCCTTCCCCTTTGATGTTTCTGCCCTGAAGCAGCCGATCATGGCTGAATCCTCTGAAATTGTAAGATAAAGAAACCTCTCTTCCTTTAAGTTACCATGTCAAGTATTTTCTCCCAGCAAAATGAAAGATGACCTCAGCAGCTTCAAAGGAACATGAAGTCTGCAGACTGTACTTTGAGAGAACTGTTCCTGAGGAGTTCTGAGCAAAAGGTAACAGGGATAGACTTGAACTTTGAAAGGCTCACCCAGCTGCCATGAGAGGAATGGACTGCAGGGGGCAGTGGTGGAGGCTAGGGAGGTCTCCGGCAGGGAAGCTGGGTGGTGTGGAGCAGTGTGGTGGCTGAAGGGAGTGAGAAGGGCTCGCATTCAGCATAGATTTGCAAGGCCGAGCTGACGGAAAAAGCTGATGAACTGCCGGTGGGTTGCGGGAATGAAGGCAAAAAGCCTGTGATTCCAAAGCTCTCGGCCAGAACACTTGGGGCAACAAACCTGCAGTGCCAGAGAGGTGCAGGACGGAGCGAGTCCTACAGGAGGAACTATGAGGTCATACACCATGAACTATGAGTTTCAGAGGGTTGGCGGGTTGAAATTTGTAGCAAATTTGAATTAGATTTTTAAAAATCTACTGTATTTATAAGAAACAAGGCTATAGCCCACTCATCCCAAATACATTTCTCTCTCTTTCCTTACAGAGAATTCCTAACTTTGAATAGGGTGGCAAGGTGTCCAGCCTCATGAGATAAACTCATTGGCTGAGCCAGTCATGATAACCCAGTTTTTCATTGTTTTCAGTCATTTTAGCAGTTAGGAGTGATTGAGCTTCTCTGAGGTAGAGAAATGTGAAAGGGAGTGTGTCAGAAAGGTTTTTAGGAAAACTTCAGTTTTTCTTATGGAAGGACGAGACTCCAATTAAAACAGATTTGCCCCACTTTTCTCTGGAGAAACAGCCACCATTTTGGGAACATGAGGCAAAATACACGAGGATGCTAAGCATAAAGCAGCAGAAAAGTGAAAAGATTGGGTACCTGGCCATTAATCACTGCTACCAGTCTACCACTAGCAATGACTTAATATGTGGAAAAATAAACTCCTATTTGTTTAAACCCCTGTAAATTAAATTTTCTATCACCACCAGTACACGCATTTCTAATAGTATATTATATACTTTTTTATACTTACATACTCATATTCATAGCTTTTACTTGTTAGTTTGTATACTTTATATATGATTTTTTATATATATGATTTTAATAGCAGTTGTACATTTTATGTTTTAAAACAGAACTGACATATCATTCTTATATCATGAAATCTGTCCTTGAACGTATATAACAGAGCGTGTTTCAGTATATTCATAGATGGGTAGAGTTAGCTCCACTACTTAATTTTGGAACATTTTCTTATCTCCCCCTGCAAGTGCCCTATGCATTCATAGCAATCATTCCCTAAATCTCAAACTCTTATCCAGTCCCTGACAACCACTGATCTACTTTATGTCTCTACAGATTTATCTACTTTAGGTATTTTCACATACATGGAATCACACCATTTGGCTTTTTGAGCCTGTTATTTTGCACTTGGCGTGCTACTTTCAAGGTTATCCATGTTGTAGCATGTGTCAGTATTTCATGCCTTTTTTATGCATGAGTAACATTCATCATATAGTTATACTACATTTTTGATCTATGGATCGATGGACATTTGGATTGTTTCTACTTTTGGCTATTGTAAATAATGCTGTAATGATTATTGGCATAAACACTTTCATGTGGGCATTTGCTTTTATTTTGGGGGTAGATATTGATGAATGGAATTGTTGAATCATGTAGTAATTACATATTTAATGCTCTGAAACTGCCAAACTGTTCCCCAAAGAGGCTGAGCCATCCTACACTGTAAGTAGCAGTATATGAGGGTTCCAGTCTCTCTATGTCTTTGCCAACACAGGCTACTGTACACATTTTTCATTATAGCCATCATACATGTTATGAATGGTCACCTTGTATTTTTATTTGAATTTCCCTACTGACTCATGATATTGACCCTAATTCCACATGCTTATTGGCCAGTCATAACATCTCTTATGCACAAATGTCTATTTAATTTTTGGCTCTTCTTTAATTGGGTTATCTTTTTATTTTGATATGAAACAAAGAGACAAAGGTAACTCTTTTTAGCTTCATCACAACCATATAAAGTGGATATTATTTACATTCCCATTTTAGAGGAAACAAAACTGAAGAGGTTTAAAGGCTCGCCCCAAATTGTTTAATGCCATATATTAGAGCAAAGAAAATCTTATTTGTGTCTTTTTTATGACAAAAGCCATATATTCTCTTATTACATATGTTCTACAGAAAAAAAACTGTATGATTATTTAAAAACCTTTATGCAATGAATAAATGTTAACATTAGCATGTCAGTCACCTATAAGAAGTAACAATAAAATATAAATCAGGTTTATCTTGAAAGTAATGGTCCGCTGTTACAATTTAATAGTAAATATATATTAAAAGGACCAGAAAGCAGTTCAATACCAATTACCCGGCAGCCATCCTGACTTTCATGACATATCATAAGAGAAACAGGGTTTTGTGTTTGTTTTTAAAGGGTTTCACAAGCTAAGAAAGGAAGGAAAGGAAGAAAAGAGGGAGAAAAAAAGTAAGTAGATACTCACCACAGCTGGTATATTCCACTGTCTTAAAGTTGATACGAAACAAGTAAGGTCTCACAAAATACACACCTTCTCCCTGTTTTTATTGTAAACCATGCTGAAACTATACCCCAAGTTGTCTGTATATTTTAAAAAATACATGACAGGTCATGTCTACCTTATATCATGAAATTTGTCTACCTTCTAGTAACTTTGACCCACTCTAGCTAGTTATTATTGACACCAATTAATAAAATCCAAAGAAACTGATCTAAATACTTTAGCAAGAATTTTGGAAAAAAGGTTAACTTGCCTCAAGTTCTCTGACAAGCCTATTCGCTAATTCAATGGTTTTGTTAGTTTGGTTCACTTCTTCTTGACACCGGACTTTCTCAGCTATCGCTTTTTCAAATGAAGCTGTGAGTCTGCGAAGATGCTGGTCCAGATCCTATATAACAGTTTAAATTAACGTGAGTTATTTTTAGATTAAAACATAAATAGCTCGGTCATCATAAAACATCTGTTATTGGGGGCTGGGGATTTAGCTCAGTGGTGCAAACGCCTGCCTTGCAAGGACCAGAGTTTGATCCCAGGGACAAAAACAAAAATCAATAACAAAAACAAAAAAATCTGTTACTTGAAGGAAAATGAAATGAATTGCTCTCTCTTCTTTGCCTTTTCCTTTCTACCATACATATTTTAGGGGAGGAGGAGGAGGAGATAGTGACAATAAATCCATCAGGGGCTACCACAGATTGTCTAACTGATTGCCACGTGCTCTTGTCACCTTCCCTCTCCCCTGGGCAAGGTGCAGAGAGGGATCAAGGCGAGTGTTTGTGCTTTTACTGCTCAAATAAACCGCGGGTACTCTGTCCTCCTCCACTCTTGGCCCTAAGCTTCATCCTCCAATACCAACTTTACTACCCACATACACTCTAATTATTTATATACAGAATGACCAAGAATTGCATATTTTTCATTACTTTTTACAACAGGAAATATAAAAATGACAATTTTAACAAATTCCTTCAATACTTTTTCTATGTATGATATATCTTTAGACATTAAATATACAACACAATTGTCTTCTGGAAAGAGTTGAGAGGATGGTAGAAGGTGGTATCTCTCTAAGTGAAGCCCCCAAAAATATATACATCCTCCCAGCTTTTTCCAGAAAACAGTGGACCACCTTTGAATCTCAACTCCAAACTGCAAAAGGGAAAATCTGATTGGCCAAGTCTGGTCAGGTTGAGGAGGTCTGAAGGGGCTTGGTAAGTAACACCCCTCTTCACTGCCTCAGATACGAAACAAACGAGAAGTGAGTCAGTAAGTGAGCACTACCAGATCTTCTGTCATCAACTACTTAAGAGTTTACTGGGAGCATCACACGGGGAGCGTTACAATGTGGATGGTAGCATTGAGTCTCTTTCTGAATTCTTTTTGAATTATTGTCTTTTTTTCAACAACACTTTACAGTGTTGTGGTGGCATTTTTTTCTATGGCTGGTATAATTTCAATAAAATATCGATCCACTGAACACAATGGTGAAAATGTTGATGATGGACAACCTGGCTGACATTTTGCTTCCCTGTATTTTTCACTTATTTGGTCTATTAGACTTAATCTAAATTGCAAATGACTTTTTGAACCTCCTTGTTTTGAGTATGTAACAAACAACTTCCATACTGTTTGGTCCAGAAGGAGCATAAGTATTTTAAAACAGTGAAGGGCATGTGAGCTATAGTATCAGATGCCTAGGCTCACGGATGGATTCTGCTACCAGCTAAGCAGAGTCAAGTCAAGCTGTTTATCTGAACTCTATGCCTCGGTTTCATTCTCTGAAAAATGGAACTGATAACATTACCCAACTCAGAGGGGAGTTTTATGAGGATTAATTTTTATGATCCACATAGTAACACTAAGGGAGTACAAACCAGCAGTTGTCAATAATTTTTGGTCTCAAAATGCTTTTACATTCAGAACTCCAAGGCCACTGGGTTATGCAGATAGTATCTATTCATATTTATATTAGAAACTAAAACTGAGTTATAAAAGTTTATTCCTTTTAATAAACTCATTGTAGCACAAATCCATTTTATACAAGCAACACTACTATCAAAATAAAAAACAATTAGTGAGGAGAAGGACATTAAGAAGATTCTTGCAAATCCCCTTAATTTCTTGAGTCTGAGGTTCTTATACCTACCCCTGTATTCTATCTGTTGAAGATACCACATTATACAGCCCCTGGAAACCCTACTATATGCTTGTTAGAAAATGAGGGTAAAAAGACAATGTCTTAATATGATTATAAGAACATTTTTGACCTCATAAGTCCTCTGAAAGAATTCTAGGAACCCCTCAGGAGTCCCTGGGCCACATTATCTAAACCTCTGATACAAATATGCAGTAAATTTTATCTTTAATACTGAAGCAATTTACCTAGAGTTACTGAATTAAGCAGGTATAAGCTATCATGTTAAGCTCAAGAGACAGTACTGATTACTAAAATATAGATTCTTAAACATATATACTAAGCCACTTCAGTTTTAAATGAAAACTGGCTATTTTTTCATTAGTGTAGAATATTCTGAAAATAATGAAAAAAAGCCCCCTTTTCCAGGACTATTGTTATTGCAGAAAGAAACGTGAAAAATCACAGAATTTTATTATTATCGAAGAAAATATTCTTAGGGGTAAGAATCAGGAGGATTCTAATGCTTACATGCCTTAGGTATGTAATAAATTCTGCATGATTAAAAAACATTATAGTCACATCTAGACAGCCCTTTGTAGCTGACACACTGCTTTCCTGTCTTGTGTCTTACTCTGTCTAAGCACACAAGCTGAGAAGTATTGCTGTTTTCCTATTCTTTGGCATGTGAGGATACTTGGGCAAATATGCCTTGAGTGACATGCAGCAGTTTCACTCACCTAAAACATGGCAAATCAAGGCCTAGCTCCTCACCCTCTAATTTGTGAACCAATGTAATGAATGTATTTAACACAATGGATGCTTAAAAGTCACAAATGTGGAGAGCTGCAGGAAACACGCCCAGGCTTCCTAGTCATGTCAGACATAAGGGCACGGGTACCTACTTTTGGGTTTAAAACACTGATGGTAGCCCCTCTGCCTTTCAGACAGTAGGGCACATTATTCACTTTCTGTGAGCGTCCCATTTCCTCACTGTCCACAGAACACATGATCCTCTTCCACTGCCCTTTCACAGAAGATTCTTTTCCCATCAACCAGGCAAACATATCCACCTCTCAAGACCTGATTTGCAAAGAAATTATTCCACCAAACACTTCCTGATGCAGAACTGACCACTCTTTCATGCTGCAGCAGTATCCAATGCAATCTCTTTCTCTCTCTTGACAGCATCTAATAAATTAAACATCGTTTACTATATCCACTATATGATTTTCCAGAGTGAGGACTGAGCCTTATTCATCTCTCTTTCTCCAGTGTTTAAATATTTGTGTAAAAAGATGACAACACCGCTTCCTTGGGACATGGGGCATAAGACTCATTCCTCCGGGTATGCTGAGGGAAATGCAATCTTTGATCTCTGACTAATCTCATGTCTTCTACCAACACCTATACACCTGTAGCACACTACCTTCTTAGCTTGCAAGGAGGGTAAAATCTTGGTTCTTCACAGTTTGTAACAGGCCCTGGCTTCTCAGGTTCAAAGACTATAAGAGCGAGAAGCAATTTAAATATGTTCAGGGACCATTTTCATCTCCAGAATTAAGGATTATTTTGATGTTACATCATTGCTAAAAAAAGAATAAGATAAGACTATAAGAGCGAGAAGCAATTTAAATATGTTCAGGGACCATTTTCATCTCCAGAATTAAGGATTATTTTGATGTTACATCATTGCCTTTTCTCTTTTACTTTCCTTTTTAGTTTTATTTTAGGATTCCCTATTTTTAATGTTCATACAGAGATTTCTTTAACTGAAATACCGAATAGTTTCTTTGGTATGAAAAACTATAATAGTACACAGGATCCTAATGAGATAATTAATAATATGAAATAGGAAGTAAAGGGCTAAAGGTGTAGGGAAAGTGGGAAGGGTCGGGGAGAGGTAATAAGGGAGAGGAAAAAAATATGAGAAACTGAAAAAATGGAAATAAAGTGTTTGTAAATCGGGAGGAGAGGAGGGGGTGAAGGGAGGGCAGGGACAAGGGGAAAAATGAGAATCAAGACCTATTATGTAAAGGTACAGAATCCCAATGATGAATGTAATTGTATTGTATACCTAGATTGTACCAATAACCTCAATAAAAAGAAAAAAAAAAAAGTAAATCAACTGAGGAAGGAAGAACTTGGTCCAAGAACTTCAGCTTGCTGGGGACTCTAAAATAGTGGAGAATGCATCAGAAAAGTAGTGGAGTTTTCAAGCTTGAGTATGCATCGAAATCACCTGGAAGGCTGTTAAGCCCTCGATTCATTCCTAAGCTCCACTCCCAGTTTCTGGCTTAGTAAGTTTGAGAATGTGTACTTCTAACTAGTTCTCAGGAAACAATTGCTGCTGTTGCTGCTGGTCCAGGGAACACATTTGAGAAACACTACCCTAAAGAAGCTGGATCTGGATTTTCTTTATGACCATCCTTAGGTCCTGCATATTTATGGCACATGACTGCCTTTTTCCCGAGCTTAGTAATTTTCCTTCTCACAAAACCTTCAATATGAGGCTTTTAATCTAAAACTAGAGACAGTGTTATGGTTATTGTCTAGATGTCACCCCAAAGCCTCACACAGTCACAGGTAGGGCTTTTCAGAGGTGGCTGGATCTAGAGTGTGTGAAAGATTCATACAATGAATGAAAGATTCATGCAATGCTAGGATTAAGGGTACTGGGATAGAGGGTGTGTGATTACTAAATGTGTCCACTGACTGGTTTGGCACGACTCTAAACTGTGTAGCCTAGATAGAATATAAAAGGGGCAGAAAGAAGCTGCTGTCGTCACTTTTTCTGTTTTCTGCTTCCATGAGCTGTTTCTCCTCTGCAGCGCCCCTCTGCCATACCATCCTGCCTTAGAGCCAGCTGAGTATGGACTGAAAGCTCTACCAACTGAGCTGAAATAAACCTTTCCTTCTTTAACTTTGGGTGGTGGGTATTTTGTACCAGCAATGAGAAAAGTTACTAAGACAGAGACTAAAAAAAACAACCAACCCCCCACAAACCAGCTACACAAAGACTAACACACTAGTAGGAGCAAATTTCCACTCATGACCAAGCATGAGGCTTGCTCAGATACAACCCCCTTGTGCTAGGCACGAAAGCAACAAGAGGTAGAAGACGAGAAAGATGGAACACTCAGGTGGGAAGAGAAATGAAAGGCTGGAGAAAACAAAAGCTAGCAAACTTACAATTTCACTTGGATTAAATCTCTGTTTTATTGTATTTCAACAGATCGACACTGTGCAAAGTTCCTGAGTCCTTAGCGTGACCAGCGATGCTGCTGCCTTGAGAGGAAACTAGACATTGGAGGAAACTGCAGCCAGAATTCTGCTGCATTAGTAACTCCTCTCTGGAAAACTATTCTTGAAAAGGAGTGGAGGGGATTCATTTTTATGAACGCATTTTGACAATGAAGTGTGATAAAAAATACACTGAATGCTTAAGCTTTACAGTGAAGGACATGTTGCCTTTACTCATCCTGCAAATGCTCCCCCTTGATTCGAACACACTCATCCCATCATCCTTGGCACTTTCTGAAGCAGCTCTGGAAGCCTTCATCAGTGTCTTTAGTCGTGCAGTCATGGCTGTGTCAACGTCCTGAATCTATTCACAACGTGTACATGGTCACTTGGACTTTGCAGAAGAGCCAGAAGTTGCACGGCGCCAGATCCAATGAATACAGTGAATGGACACGACATAGTGATGTTATTTGACAGAAATTCCCATAAACATTTGATCAATAAGAGATAAAAGTCATGATGAATATTTAAATTTGAAAAATTACAGAAAATATATATTGCCATTAAGTATTCTCAAAATGTTCCCCCTCTCTTTAAACATACTTAATTCATCATTCTAGGCAATGTGTCGTTTACCGTAGTTTTTAAAAAAAATTTAAACATTCAGTGTATTTCTCAATCATCCCTTATGTTAATTTGTCCTTCTTGTCCCTGTGTTTCAAAGCTTAATTCTGAGGCTTACTGACATACGAACCTCTGCTTATACCATGGGTCTCTGAGGAGTTGGCATGACCAACTCTGTTCAGTTAGTTGCAGGCTATGTCCAAAGGAATCCTAGTTTTGCAAAAAACAAAGTCTCAACTTCCCAGTGAACTTTATGGTTCTCCTCAGCATTGTCATCGTTTTTCTTATGAACATTAGATTATTGCTAATGTTTATGTAAAGCCATTCACAAAGCTTTTAGTCAAGCTGACAGTGAGACTTTCTGCTGGTGAATGAAGGTGATCTTTGTAGAATTATGTTCATTCTAAAAGTATTTAAGTCAGCTGCTATTGATGCTGATTTATTTTTCTCCCACTGGTCATCAGGTATTGGTGAGCAGCATTGCTTGGGGCTACAGTAGGACTATGTGCTGACTGGACAAAAAGGGTGGTCAAGGGGAACGCAGACCAGGAAGGGCTATTAAAAGCAGCAGCGGGGGGGAGATTT